AGCGGTTCCAAAACTTTGTCAAAGAAAATTTTCGGTACAGGACTTGATTGTCCATTCAAGGCTTCAAAAGTTATCGTTAAAAAAACTACATATTACGTAGGCAACGTCGGCCCCTGTGGTAAAAATGTAATTGAAGATCATTTAAAGTCAAAAAATATCGCTATCACCAGCTGTTTCCCGATTTTACGTAAAAAAAATTCTGATGATCCTCCTATCGATGTTAACACCGAATCAACTGCGTTTAAAATAGTTTTGCCGGTAGATGATTTACCTAAGTTGTTGAACCCAGATATCTGGCCTCAATATGCTTTTTTCCGTGAGTGGGACTACTCAAAGATAGGCTCAGCCCAGTTATCCTCGCAGAACGCTAAAACTACTGACCATGGCGGAATCAAGTAACTGTTTCAATGACCCTCCGGGAACCAACTCATTTTTTCATAATGATAATCCTTGCCAATTTGATAGTGTCGATCCGGATGTTAATATTTTTTCTAATATTTCCTTTGAATGTTCTCCTTTATTGCCTGGTAATATTAATTCTTTTATTGATTTATTTAACTTCAGTATTTTTCATGTTAATTGTCGTAGTCTTCTAAATAAAATAACTGAATTAAGTATTTTGATTGACTTATGTGGTGGTTGGTTTGATTTGGTGGCTGTCACTGAGACCTGGTTGAGTGATGCTACCTCTGCTTTGATAAATTTATCTGGTTTTAAATTTGTATGCGTGAATCGTATTGGCAATATTGGTGGTGGTGTTGGTTTATTTGCTAGAGATGGCTTAAAGTATGTGGTACGAGATGATTTGTATTTTTATTTTACTTCTTTTGAGTATTTAATTGTGGAGATTTTTATAAGTATAAATATTAATTACTTGATTATCGTTTTATATCGCCCACCTGGTGTTGACACTTCTGTATTTTTTAATGATTTAACCAAATTTTTTCTTAAATTTAACTCAACGTCGTTTACTAATGTTTATATCACTGGGGATTTTAACATTAACTTATTATCTGATGATTACAAACATTCTTCTACTCAGTTTATTAATCTTTTACATTCTTTTAGTTATTATTCCTTAATATCAGCGGCCACTCGTGTTACTGCCACTAGTAAGTCTTTAATTGATAACATATTCACGAATAATATTTCTAATCATAAGTCTGGTATTATTTTGTCATCTTTCTCAGATCACTTTCCAATTTTTACTTCATTCTTAACTCATGGTTTAACTATACCTGAACGTTCAATTATTTCTTTCAATTACTCTGCTTATAATATTTCTAAACTAAACATGTATCTTTTGAACTATGATTGGTCTTGTATCTTGAACTGTTATAATACTGATTTAGCTTTTAATTCATTTTTAGACATTGTTAAAAATGCAATCATTACAAATTGTAAATCTTTCCGTAAGAAATCTCTTAAGAGGAAGCCGTGGATTACTAAGGGTTTGATTATTTCATCTGCTAATAAAAATAAATTATATAAAAATTTATTGCTTTCCAACTCTTTATTAGATAAATTAACATATATTAAATATAAGAAAATTTTTTCTAAATTATGTAAACTGTCTGAAAACCTTTATTATAATTATCAGTTTTTAAATTGTAAATCTAACAGTGGACATACTTGGAAGTTATTGAAATCTTGCTTAGGTCTTAATAATATATCACCATCTTTTAATATAATGATTGATAACCATTTTATTATGGATGATGTTTTATTGTGTAATTATTTCAACAATTATTTTTCGTCATTAAACAATATTAATAATTCATCTGACTGTAATTTTGATTTTAAAAGGTTTATGGGTAATCATGTTTCTGATTCATTTGTTTTGTTTGAATGTCTCTCGTTTGAAATTATTGATGTTGTTAACAAATTTAAATGCACTCATAGTTGTGGTGATGATCTTATTTCAAATTTCTTACTAAAAAATATCATTCATAGTATTATGTCACCTTTGCTACATCTAATTAATCTATCTTTTAAATGTGGTCTTTTTCCCAATTGTCTTAAGATCTCTAAAATCTTACCATTATTTAAATCCGGGGTTCGCCATTCTATTAACAACTACCGTCCTATTTTTATTCTTTCCAGTATATCTAAACTAATTGAAAAGATAATCTTAAATCGCTTTAATAAATTCCTCAATTCTCGTAATGTAATTTCTTTAAATCAATATGGCTTTCGCGACA